AGTTCTTTGGCCCATTTTTTGATTGGGTCATTTATTTTTCTGGAGTTGAGCTGGAGGAGTTGCTTGTATATTTTTGAGATTAATCCTTTGTCTGTTGCTTCATTTGCTATTATTTTCTCCCAATCTGAGGGCTGTCTTTTCACCTTGCTTATAGTTTCCATTTTTATTAGTTGGAGGCTAATTATTTTACAATATTGTAGTGGTTTTTGCCATACATTGACATGAAGGGCTGGAAAAAATATTTCATGCAAATGGAGACCAAAAGAAAGCAGGAGTCGCAATACTCTTATCAGATAAAATAGACTTTAAAATACTCAGCCATTAAAAAGAATACATTTTTTAAAAGAACAATTAGAAAATATTTTATTTCATTAAAGCTTTTTAAAATTAATGAAAATTATCAATCTGTATATTACTTTCAGATAGTAAATATTAGAATCTAAAATTTCTGTATAGTCTTATAATCTTTAAGATTAATCATGATTAGAAATTAGATACATGAAAAAAATCATTGTTTTCTCCCTCCCACACTAAAATAAATAAGAATTTTAATATACCAAATCATAGTCTTGCTTTATCAGCTGTTTTAAGAAATGACAGTGAGAATGCTTTCCTCTGCTTAAGTAAAGGTATACAAAAATAAATGAAAAGTTATCCTTTCAAAAGCATGGTTTTAGTGTTCTAACAATTTTTATAACTGTTGATGGGAAAACCACTTTGCAGTATTTTTCTAAGGAGAAAGGACATTAACACTAGATATCAACAAATGTTCTTGTTACCAAGATATGTGTGTGTAAATATATGTATATATACACACATATATGCATACAGACCAAGTCCTGAAGACTGCAGTCTGGCCACAAGCAATCAAATGAAGTATGACCTTCTAAAGGGGGTGAGGGGAAGTATAAAATACTTTAGAAAACTATTTACAAGTTAATACTCCTACTATTTGTTCTAAAAGATTTTTATAGAAACTTATTCATGCACCAAATATAGCTACAACAAATGAATAAATCAGAAAAAAGTGAGGCAAAGGAAAATCAAGTGTAGGGAAGTAAGGTGGAATCAAGGGTCATATTAGCAAATACAGAAAGTCTTTTTTTTTAAGTCTTTATTGAATTTGTACATTGTTTGTGGGTTTTTTTTATCTGTTTGTTTGTTTTTAATGTTTTGGTTTTTTAGCAGCGGGGCATGTGGAATCTTTGCTCCCAGATCTGGGATCAAACCTATACGTCCTGTGCTGGAAGGCAAAGTCTCAACCATTGGACCACTGGGGAAGTCCCCAAAAAGTCTTCAGTATTTTCTCTAAGTGACATACTATATGTTTCAGGTTTACCTTATAAAACCATTTTATTAATCACATATTACTAAACCACTAAAAAGAATTAAAGTATTACATTATTTGTGTTAGTTCACGTGAATTTTATAGCTGTAAATCCTTATTGAGTAATAAAAACACATAGGTCAGAAAAAAGGTTAGATTATCTGAACTGTGAGGGCTATAAAACCATGTACCTCAGAAGGGGAAAAAAAGTCACTTTTTTATACTAGAAAATCATATAAAAATGACTTCTGATATTGACCTGGTACTTTAAGAAAAATCAATTGGTATGTTTATCTTGAGATTTGAGATGCTTTAGCCCATGAAAAAAAAACATGTTGTTTTTTGTCTTCCTTCATTCCTTCAGAATACTTTCATAGTACCATTGACCTGTCCTACAAAACCCGTATCTATAATGAGCTAGTGCCTCATTCTTAAAAATTTATAAAGTTACACATTACAATACATCTACATTTTATAGCTGAGAGCAATCTGGCTGTAAAAGAAGATATCTGAGTATTAGATATCTTAATACTTAGGTATTAAGTAAAAGAGTAAACCTAAGTATTTAATATAAAAATAAAATGATTTCAGATGAACAGCTTCATAACTAGTTGTTGCTGCTATTTTTATTTCCCCCTCCTAAATCTTTAAATTTCAAAAATTTCCCATGGTCACATTTACTGTATATGAAAAGGAAAAATAAAGAAGAAAAAAGAAAGGCATACGCTTTGATGACACCATGGAATGTATACACAAACTAAGCCATTATTATTAATAAATGGAAGAAAACTATAATGTTAATGTAATGTTAGTCGATCAGTTGTGTCCAACTCTTTGCAACCCCATGGGCTGAAGCCCACCAGGTTCCTCTGTTCATGGAATTCTCCAGGCAAGAATACTGGAGTGGGTTGCCATTTTTTTCTCCAGGGGATCTTCCCGATCCGAGGATTGAAACTGGGTCTCCCACACTGTGGGCAGATTCTTAACCATCTAAGCTACCAGGGAAGCTTTGATAACACCAGGGAATACATACACAAACTAAGCCAACATAATTAATGAAAGGAGGAAAACTATGAGTTAAATTCAACCTTTCTTCTAATTTTGATTTAATACCAGTGAATATTGGTATGATGGTGGTGAAATAGTATATTCACTAGAGAATAACTGGATTTTATCTGTAATTAGGAAGCATTTACAGGGTATAAAGCAGAGTTCTAAAGAAAAGACAAGATCTCACAGAATCTTTAAGCTATGTGGACCACACAGCTGTGAAGTTTGTAGGAAGAGCTGTGACCACATGCATTTGATTCTCAGTCTATGTTCTCAGCAGAACCGATTCAGCCTCCAAACTGTTAAGATAGTAACTCATTAATGCTATCTATTAACTTAGGAACAAGGACTTAGAAGGGCTTGATAAGAGGAACATATGGTATACAATATCACCCTATTATTAAAAGTGGTCTCTAAGTTTCCTCATGTCTTATTTATTCCAAAAACTAAGTTCAAAAAATATAGTTAAAAAAATCATAGCAAAATACTAATATCAAATGGAAACTCATCTGAATACTAAATTGATTAACAACATAAACATCATTAGTATCAGCAGGAAAGAGGTATAAAGAAAGTAAAATAATTACAGGGGATAAAATTATTTTTCCTTCAGTTCAATTCATTCAGTCATTTCCGACTCTGTGCGACCCCATGGGCTGCAGCACACCAGGCCTCTCTATTACCAACTCTCAGAGGCTGCTCAAACTCATGTCCACTGAGTCGGTGATGCCATCCAACCATCTCATCCTCTGTCATCCCCTTCTCCTCCTGCCTTTAATCTTTCCCAGCATAAGGGTCTTTTCAAATGAGTCAGTTGTCTGCATCAGGTGGCCAAAGTATTGGAGATTCAGCTTCAGCATCAGTCCTTCCAATGAACACCCAGGACTGATTTCCTTTAGGATGGACTGGTTGGATCTCCTTACAGTCCAAGGGACTCTCAAGAGTCATCTCCAACACCACAGTTCAAAAGCATCAATTCTTCAGTGCTCAGCTTTCTTTATAGTCCAACTCTCACATCCATACATGACCACTGGAAAAACCATAGCCTTGACTAGATGGACCTTTGTTGGCAAAGTAATGTCTCTGCTTTTTAATATGCTGTCTAGGTTGGTCATAACTTTCCTTCCAAGGAGTAAGCATCTTTTAATTTCATGGCTGCAGTCCCCATCTGCAGTGATTTTAGACCCCCCAAAATAAAGTCTGCCACTATTTCCATTGTCTTCCCATCTATTTGCCATGAAATGGTGGGGAGCAAATGTCATATTCTTAGTTTTCTGAATGTTGAGTTTTAAGCCAGCTTTTTCACTCCCCTCTTTCACTTTCATTAAGAGGCTCTTTAGTTCTTCTTCACTTTCTGTCATAAGGGTGGTGTCATCTGCATATCTGAGGTTATTGATATTTCTCCTGGCAATCTTGATTCCAGCTTGTGCTTCCTCCAGCCCAGCATTTCTCATGATGTACTCTGCATATAAGTTAAATAAGCAGGGTGACAATATACAGCCTTGACATACTCCTTTTCCTGTTGGAACCCGTCTGTTGTTACATGTCCAGTTCTAACTGTTGCATCCTGACCTGCATACAGATTTCTCAAGAGGCAGGTCAGGTGGTCTGGTATTCCCATCTCTTGAAGAATTTTCCACAGTTTATTGTAATCCACACAGTCAAAGGCGTTGGCGTAGTTAATAAAGCAGAAGTAGATGTTTTTCTGGAACTCTCTTGCTTTTTCGATTATGTTAGCAATTTGAGCTCTGGTTCCTCTGACTTTTCTAAATCCAGCTTGAACATTAGTATTTTCTAAAAAAAAGATTAAAGGTCTGTTTTTCTTACAGGTACCTAACTCTTTTCAGATGAGGCAGAAGTAGCAAATATTTATCCTCATACCATGAAAGGATTACAGAACTAAAAAGGAGGTCTGACTTTCTTTTTTAATAAATGAGTTTTTTTACCTGATAAGCCTTGTGGCTGATGCCATATACTAATGGATTTGCTCTCATCCGTACATAAAGATAAGTGTAGCTTATCCACTTCACTGCTTCTTCCACATTAGTAACTGTTCCCAGAGCAATCTGCAAATCAAAAATATAACAAAAATTAAATTAATGCATTAAAGTTGAATATAAACATTGCATCAAGGACCATTCTGTCAAAAGCTAAGTTTTTAAAATGCATCACTATGATGTATTTAAAAGAAAGTAAGCATAATTATTGGCCATGACATTTCTCCAATTAATTAAAAATCAGCCCTGCCTCATTTGAGAACAGTACACTAGATATGTTACCTGCCAAAACTGACCTTACTTAATATTATTGCATTGGATTATTTTTCCCATTTGAGTTTAATTTTATATAGTGTTAAAAACATTTTGGTATTCATTAATTCTTCCTCTTCTTGTTTCTTTTAAATCTTGGCTTCATTTAATGTGACAACATTATTGATAGTTTTAAATGTAACTGTACCACAAGTAAAACATAATATTGATGATTTTATCCCTCTTTATTGTGATTTTGTATACTATCATCACCAAAATCACAAAGGCTATAACATTAATTTTTTTCCTCTAAAGATTCCCATTTGCAGTATAGCTAGTATAAATATATAATACAAATACAATGGTAAATGCAATAATTTTGGCACAAATATTTTATTGGGATTTATACATATTAATAACATATGTACCTCAAAATTCATACAAGAACAGGGAGTGGTTTTAATCTTTTTATTGGTAAACTTAACTTATGGAAAATTAGTTATTTATAAATTTGAATTATAATAAACACTGGGTATTTCTTTAGATTATACTCTGAAATTTTTAACATAGCATTTAATGTAACTTTATAATATGGTAAATTAATGAAACCAAAGTTAATAATTTTAAAACAATGATAACATATAAAATCTGTGTAATAAAAGAAATTGCTAGAAAATGATCTTAACACAGAACTGCAGTGAAAAATCTTAAAGATACATTTTTTTAGCCACTGGATCTATAGGTAGTCATTTTGCTTCTACCTAGAGTGTTCATTTTAATTAACAAATTTATCCAAGTTATGCCACTTCAGATTTGAATAATTTTTCCTGAATTTGTAGCTGAAAAAATTTTTACATCTTAATACTTTAATCAAAGGATAACTGATGGTCTCCACCCTAAATAACAAAATTTTGGGAGACAAGAAGGGAAAATAAATCCTGTTATTTTAGTATAAAATATTAAAGAAAATATAAACATTAATGTTTGCTTTATTCTCATTATAATTTAAATTGTGTATAATTAATTTTGTAAAGTAAGTATGTATAGTCTTAGCTATCTTTATTTAGTTGGAGATGACATATAGCAATTTATAAATATCATTATAGTATTATATCATACTATTCATCCTTAAATAAATGACCAAAACTAAGTAAATGACAAGGCAGATGCTATCTTTTTTAAAAATTAAACAATCTTGATATATGTCAGAGAAAGACAATATTGTAAGATCTCCTTTATATACAGAATCTAAAAACACCAAACTCAGAAAACAAAGAGCAGAATGGTGGCAGCCAGGAGTTGAGGGGTAAGGAAAATGAGGAGATGTTGTTTAAAGGGTACAGATTTTCAGGCACCTGAGTCAGCTCTGGGGATCCAATGTATAGCATCATGACTACAGGTAATCCTGTTGTGCTCTAAACTTGAAAGTTGATATGAGAGTACAGCTTTAGTGCTCTCATCCTAACAAAGACAAAATGGTCATCACATGAAGTGAAGGACGTGTTTACTAACTTTATTGTGGGAAACATTTAACAAATACCTGTGTGTGTCACATTACTGCACTGTATAACCTGAAACTTACAATGTCATGTCAGTTATAACTCCATAAAGCTGGAAAAAGTAAATAGATTTACATTACATATTTACAAATGACCAGAAGTGACCACAGTCTAAGTAAACATACACATTTACTAAAATGTGAACTATAAGACTTTCAACAAAACAAAGAGTAACAAGAAGTAAAATTTATCTAAGGAGTGAGTCCTACAACACTTCCTAAATATTTACAAACATCACAGTTAAACATTTTCTCGTCTACTTAGACAAAGGAAACTAGTTAGATAATATGGCGAGACATCCGATAGCATTCTCCATTTTTAATTCTATTATCTGATTTGGATTGTATCAATTCCCTTATGATTTATTGACATTTTAAAATAACATCACACAACTCCAGAGTAGAAAATTTTATAAAAAAATAAAATAAGCTTCCTATTACTTTCAAAGTCAGACAGTAAATTAACCATAACTGATAATTAGCTGTTGCTGGGCGCTGATAAGAATAAAGGAAAAGACCAAGTAGGTAGCAAAACCTGGATCAGGTAATACAAGTCTTTCAAATGTTCACCAAAAAGGAAAAGACCACTCAGAAAAATGAATGTAAATTTATGACGGTACATCATACTGTGAGATTAATCCTTGAATGCCATCTAGTGACAACAATAAAAATTCACTTGCAAATATCTGTGGTCTCCTAGTAGCTACTTAGTATAGGAGGCTGATATAGAACAAGTGTTTTTCATAGTATCTCTCTGAAATTTATTCATTCACCCCAATAACCATCCAAGAAGCCAGTAAGTCAAGTACAATGGATATGGCAATAAATATAGCATGGTGCCTCATCTTAAGTTCTGTAGTCCCTTAGGTGAGATACATGTAACTAATTAAGATGACATCTATGAAACCATTATCCACAGTGCCAGGACACACCATGTATTCAAAAATGCTTTTAAAGAAAAACACCTAACATATATAACTTATAAAAAAAGTGCCATTAATATATAGTGTAACAGAGCTTTAAGTGCTAAGAGGAAAAAAAAATCGATCCCAACTTTGGTAATTTAGAAGGCTCAAAGTATCATTTGTATCTGATTTATCTACTTAAGCTTCAGTTATTACAACTATCTTGTTTATTTGTATGTGCTTTTTAAAAAGCTAGTTGAAATCAAATAAAACTAAACAAGCAAATGTAATAATCATATTTATATAAATACATATGCAAACACAAATCTCTCTAGTACATGTATGCAAACATATTTATACCACTATTCATTTATTTATTTCACTAAAATTTGTGAGGGTAGCAAGTATGATTGGGGCTGAGCATAAAGGAACTATGAAGTAACACAAGTGGCATAATCTTGTACTAAATAACAACTTGGCACAGGTATTTGTTAACTTTTCACAACAATCTAGTGATACTACTCCTAATCTAAACATGGGACGAAGAGCACTTTACAGGGGAAGCAAATAGACTGAGAGCCTCTAGAGCAGAAGAGCTGTACTGGAAAGGAACCAGAGTCAGACCTGGGAGATGTCAGGCTGAGGCCAAAATCCAAAGACAAAGTGCTTGTATTTATACCCTGCGGAGACGGACAGAGGATGATAGACGGAGGAGCCTGGGGCGTCTAGAGTCCATGCGGTCATGAAGAGTCAGACACGACTGAGCACGCATATGCACACGCACTGCTGTGCAGATGGGAGGAACTCTGTACAAAGAATGTACGTACGGTTATAGAAAGATGAACACATTTTAAAGGATGGACCACAAGGCCTTGGCACAGAACAGGTACCCAGTCATGTTTGCTGAGTCAATTTTCATAAGCCTCAAACATGCTTCAGTGTTTCTCTCAGAGCAGAATGAAATGGTATAGACAGGACTGGGACTTCTGACTTTTTGGCATTAATTAGCATTAGGGAGTCAGCCTGATTAAGGGTCAATTAGCAAAGATGCCTCATAAAATACCTGCATTAAAATGACTGTTTGATAGAATACTTTCTCCAGTTCTTCTAAACTAGTGTTATCAAGGATAGTAGTCTGGGCAACATTCCCAATCTAACATGACCTTGGTGTTGACAATTGTTGCTATACAGTCTGGCAAAGATTTGGGGAATCTGAAGTCTGAAAAATTCATTACCTTGAGAGCACAGCACACATTCATTGTATAAACTAATTTCACACTTGGCTTCCACAGATTACCAAATTTAATTTCACATTCAAACTATAATTTAAGGGAATTTGTTTCCTTAATAAGAAAATTTACTTTAATTGGGAACTAGTCTAGTAGACAAAATACGATAAAGAAAATTTAGCAATGGCTATACTTCGCTATATTAGCTAAGAATTTCAAGGTATATGTTTTGTTATTTGAATGCCATTTATAGTATTAAATGGAATTACAGTTCTAGATAGTTGACATTTCTGAAAATGACAAACACTAATAAGTATTTTATGAATATGAGGTGGATCTGTGGGCTAGAATTCATTTTTAATTTCTCAGGAATTGACCAAATAGTTTCACTGATGGTATTTTATAGTCCCTAAGAAAAAGAATTCCTGAGGACAAGAGTTACTCATCTGTGTCTTTTGCATAAAAGCATCACTATTTGGTGTCTACCACTTAAAAAAAGCTATCAAGGAAAATAATTGTAAGTTTACAAAGATGTAGGCTTTCTTAATATGCTTTTCTAGAAACATTGCATAAAAGAGTCTTGCTTTTTATTGTAAATAAGAGAAATGATTATTGCCATTTTGGAAAATATTTAGTCCTGGTCTCAGAAGAAGGCAAATGGTAGGTTAATTAATATAGAGAAATGTATTCATTCATGTGTATTCACGTACCACATTTTATATAATTGAAATCTAGGCTATAATAAAAAGACTTTTTTTGTAGTTAAAAAGACTCGAGCTTGAACAGTACTAGTTTCAAAGATTAGTATCTGAATGAGCTTTGGACGTTATCTATCTCTCTGAGAACAATACCTCCTGAGCATCAGTACTGACGGAAGATACAAAAAGTACCCAGCAGGTTGGCACATCCTCAGTCCATTGCTACTATTACTATCTTTGTACGATAGACTATTTTTATCATAGATTCCAGTGACCCAAGACCTAATTATTAAAACCATGCCATTATAGTAGACAATGAGGATAAAAACTGAGTTATAGTATTTCTTTTGGAGACAATCTTTACATCATAATTAACTTTCTAATCTTTTTTATTTTCTTATAATTTTGCTGCTAGAAACCAGCATCTTTCCTGATTTTTTCTAACTTCCAACTAGATCTTCCAAACCTTACTTAACTTTCTGAAGCCAGATCAAGTTTTTTCACCTTCATGAACAAAGCCTTTCCTGATAGGCTGGGGCCAAAGGTGTTTTCTCCTTCTACTGAATCCTTCTTTAGAACTTTATTACTTACCAACACTATTGCACTGTGTTTTTGTGTCTTTTTCTCCCATTCTGGACTATATACTCCTTAACAGAGGAATTGTATACTGAGTGTGTTTTCATCCTCTAAAAAGCCTTGTAAATAAGATCAGTAGATCTAAGTGAAATTTCTATAATACTTCACAAATATTTCACTTATTCATGTATTTAATAGTTATATTCCACCTACTTTCAAAGACTGAGTCAACTTGCATGGTAAGAAGGGATGTAGAGACAGAAAAGTGCTGAGTGACAGACAACAATAAAAAACGCCATAAGAACAGCAAAAACTCGTTTGATTTTAAGTGCACTTTAACATATTCTTAAGTTTAGAATGTTTATCCTCTTTACCAGTTAAGATGCTACCTAGGATTCCAGGGTCCGCTATTTAAATCTTAACACAAAAACACATCACACATGAAATAAATTACAAATAAATTATACTGCAGCTCAATTTAAGCAATCATATTTTCTATAACAAAGTTAATCAAATGAGCTAAAACAGAAGAGCTTTATTAACCTTATAAAAACTTTATAAAATACTTCATAATAAACTTTATAAAAGTTCATATGAACACAGTTGTTGTTATTACTGTTTCCTTAGTTTGTATAGCTGTGGTTAGATTTCTGCCCTTTCACAAAACCTCATGACTTAAAAGCACAGTCTTTTAGCAATGAGTTGTTATCAGTTCTCATTTGCATTTTATATTGCTCTGATCTAACCAAGGATATCACCATTCCACCTCTTGTGTCTCATGACTGTGAGAGGAAATAAAATGTATTATTAAATATTACAAAATAGCAATCAACTCAACCTTTATTTTTCTTAGTCTTTCTTGAAGCTGATGATTCCATTCCAACCTTTTGCTTATTAGCTCTTACCTCTGCATTTAGATTATCTGCAAGGCTTTCCAGAAACTGGCTCTCAATTGGATTTTGTTGAGTGAGCAAAGAGAGGTAATGGCTGAGTTTATCATGGGTTGTTATGATGATTCCTTCTCCAAATTTGTCAAATTGTGGTCTTCCGGCTCGACCAAATATCTGCATGACATCTAAAATTCCAAGGTCAACAAAGGAGCCTCTTTTTGCAGCATATATTTGTGTTCCCTAGATGAGGAAAAGTTAATAAAAATTTACATAAACACACACAAATATAATCCTGATGAGTTGAATACTGAAATTAGGCAAATATGGTAAGATCTCAAAAGTGTACTTTAACTAATCCTTTCATTATCTGTGATAGAGTTAAATTTTCACAATATAAACTAGATTCTGTTGGAGAAAATAATTCTGACCTTATACGAATAACATTCAAAGTCACTGAAGCAGCCAAAATCACAATAATTTTCTAAATAAATCAACCCACATGTTTGTTTTAAGATATCTCAAATCCATGCAAAAAGGAAGGTAAGCTCTCACCTTAATAATAACAGCATGAGCAGGAAGATTGACACCCCAGGCTAACGTCGCCGTACAGACTAGGACTTTGATATGCCCATTAGAAAACAAGCTTTCAACCAAATTTCTGTCCTGCCGGAGCATGCCTGCATGATGAATACTAAAACCATCTGGAAATAATTCTCGTACTTGTCTATTTCTTGACTTTTGCACCTAGAGTAGACAGCAACAAAACATAAAAGTGTTCTTTAGCATTTAAAAGCAATTGTTACTTAGCATGTCTGCTGAATAAGTTTATCAAAGAGAGCATAGAATTATTGTCAAGCATCTTAAGGTCTTACTAAGTTTTAGTATATAATGTGTCATACAAGATCACTTAAAATTATATTTCAGCTATCTTAAAAAATAGGTAACCTTGAACATGGCACAAAATCCAAAAGGAAAGAAGTTAAAATCAAGTGTTTCTTTCACTCAGGTATCCTCTTCCAGGAGAAATTTTTTCTGCAAAATTAAAGACTAACATAAGTGCTCAAAGTTTCTGTTTGGGCACCACATCCTCTGCTTGTCTGCTGTTGCTCCGAAAATTTCAAGATCAACGCCTTGACAGCTTCTTTTGAAAGAGCGCTTCCATAATTTTTATGTAAGGCGCACTACACTGGCGGGGAACGGGATTCTGGCACTGATTTCATCACACTGGCTAGCTCTTAAAATTGGAAACTTCTAAGTTAATAATAATTAAGAAAATGATCTGTGAAAACCGCACTCTGTGAAATCGGCTTCAAATATAAAATGAAAGGGAATATATTAACAAACCGCACCATCTAGTGGCCAGCCAAGTAAATAACAACTTGGAAATATATACACAAAACGATTTATCTTTTTAAAATTTCATGGGGAGGGTATTACTTCATTTTTGTGCAGTGTGGCCAGACTCTTAGAAATAATTTTATATGCACACTTTATGATTAGCTACATTTGCCTTAAGTTAAGGATCATATTGCCTTAACTTTCATCCTTTTAGATGTGTTAATATCAATCTCACAAATATGGACTCCATGTTATGGAGTATTTCGGTCTCCGTGTTATGGAGTATTTGCTAGTATCTAACAAAGCTCCTTCACAAGGTCAAGGCAGAAAAAGTAAAAACATTTTACTTACTTCATTTCTTCCCTAACATTCATGAGTGAACATCAGAGCTCACAGAGCAAACTAAAAAATACTGCTTAGAGACATTCAGAACAAAGCTGGATGGCCCTGTAGGGTGAATCTGTTGTCTGTGGACTCCTGAACCAGAATATCTTGATGGGCGTGTTATAAATGCAGATTTTTAGTCAAAATCCAGTTGAGTTAAGCCTTGGCTTGTGACACCATGACACAGTAAGAAGCTGAACCCCAGAAATATGTAACTGTGGTGCAGAATATAGAAGGTAGTAGGTGGATCATGGGGTGCTGACACAGCACCACCCACCCTGACCAGGTGGGTTCAACCAGCCTGGTCTCTGTAAGCAACCAAGAGGTCCCAGGGGTCACTTCTCCTTTCTCTCTGTTCTCGCTGGTATTCTGCGCTGTTGCTTTTTTTTATTGTATTACTTCAGTAGAGACCTGAAGTGACAACAACCTTAAAGTAAGACTGGGTTGGTCTTTCTCAATGATCTTAGAATCTGAATCTGCTGTTTTTGATCTAGCCTAGCTCACAGTATAAATAAATGAGAAATCTTGGAAAGAGATCCAGGGATAGATATGCTTTAAAACTTTATTTAAAAATTATCATATAGTCAAATTATCTTCTCACTTTTGGTGTACAGTTCTATGAACTTTAGTATATGTTCAAACTGTGTAACCACCATGATAATGATACAAACAGTTCCTTTACACACTGCCTCAAATTCTCTTGTTATTTCTTTATAGTTAAACCCTCCCCTCCTACAGCCCCTGGTAGATCAGACCCCCTGATCTGCTCTAGGAAAATATGTGACTAACATTTATATTAAAACTGATAGAAAATTGTAATAAGAGCAATGGAAGAAAAGTTAAAGGCTTTCTAACATCTCGGCTTTCATCCTTTTTAAAGACAAATTAATTCTAATGTTAGTTAGGGACCTTAGAGCACAGAAATAGAAGTCTAAAAATTAATCTTACAGAGGCAGTGTACTAGCACTGATATTAAAACCTGATAAAGCAGCAGAAAACAGAAAACAATAGAGAAATATCTAAGAATATTAGACCTAACAGTAAAGAGCTTTGGAAAATAGAATTCACCAATGCATTAAAACAATATATCACAACAAAGTAAATTAAACCCCAGAAGGCAAGGGCATTATACCTATAAATAAATTTATATGAACATGCTTATGAATGAGTCAAAGGAGAAAAAACATAGATGATCTAAAGGCACTGAAAGCTCATAAAAGACCACATTCAATCTTAATGAGCAGAGGTGACAATATTGATTTTAAACCACAATGAATCATAGAACATTAGGAGTACATCTATTAAAGTTAGAAACAAGGCAAAGTTGTTTACAATCAGCTAACCAATGTCTTAAACAATGGAATTAGACATGAGAAAATTATAAAAAGTAGAAGTACTAGATTGGAAGAGATCAAACCAATTATTAGTTGCAGATGAAATAAACATTTATTTAGAAAATTGAGAATTAATTAAAAACTACTAATGATTGAATTCAGAAAGGTGACAGTCCCTCAAATCAATATTTTAACAAGTGTTTCTATATATAAACAATAACTTGTTAGAAAATAAAAGGGAAGAAAATATCACATCTATAAAAGCCATCAAAAACAGAAAAAAGCAAGAAATAGGTAGAACCCTACCTGAAGAAATCATCATAACACTGCCAAAGGATATTCAACAAATGAAATCACATGCTTTGTTTCTGAGTTGGAAAAACCTGATTTGATAAAAATATCAATTCTCACCAATGTAATCTGTAAATCAATATATTAACTTAACTAAAAGGTAAACATCATTTCTTGGAAGTGACACTGAAGTACATCCTAAAAAGTACACATGTATATTTATCCAGGAAAAAAATTCTAAAATTGAAGAATAATGAGGATGCTTATCCCAAACACATATTAAAAATATTATAAAAGCAGGATAAGTAAAATAGTTTGATACCAGAGAAGAGTCAATAAGCTCAAGGAAATAGAAGAGAAAACTCAGATACTGACTCAGGCAGATGTGGGAATTTTGTTACGTTACATTAAATTTTATAATCAATGGAATAAACAAGGAGTCCCGCCTGCTAAGATGTAAGAGATGTAAGAGACATGGGTTCGATCCCTGGGTCTGGAAGATGCCCTGGAGAAAGAAATAGCAACCCACTCCAGTATTTTTGCCTGGAAAATTCCATGGACAGAGAAGCCTGATGGGTTATAGTCCATGGGGTTGCAAGTAGTCACACACGACTGAAGCGACTTAACAAGGACATTCAGAAACTCATTTGTTGCAGGACATCAGCAGAAAGATGTGACCACCAGTTTGACCCACGAGTTGGGCCCAGGTAATCCAGAGGTACCTCATCCTTTCCCCAGTCCTTGGAATGTGCACTCTGCTTGCCTTCACTATGCTAGAGGCTGGCCAAGAACATAGCCTTTAGTTAGAAATGCAGTGTTGACTATGTACGTGACTAAATCCCGTTAAGGCTTCTATATAAACTTTTAAGATTGTAGCAGGTAGGTTTGGAGATCTACTTGTATATAAGTTCTCTTAGTTTTTAAACCTGAGACCTACCAATCTAGAATGGTCTGCCTCTTTCTTCAAGAGACATGGGTTCGATCCCTGGGTCTGGAAGATGCCCTGGAGAAAGAAATAGCAACCCACTCCAGTATTTTTGCCTGGAAAATTCCATGGACAGAGAAGCCTGATGGGTTATAGTCCATGGGGTTGCAAGTAGTCACACACGACTGAAGCGACTTAACACGGACATTCAGAAACTCATTTGCTGCAGGACATCAGCAGAAAGATGTGACCACCAGTTTGACCCACGAGTTGGGCCCAGGTAATCCAGAGGTACCTCATCCTTTCCCCAGTCCTTGGAATGTGCACTCTGCTTGCCTTCACTATGCTAGAGGCTGGCCAAGAACATAGCCTTTAGTTAGAAATGCAGTGTTGACTATGTACGTGACTAAATCCCATTAAGGCTTCTATATAAACTTTTAAGATTGTAGCAGGTAGGTTTGGAGATCTACTTGTATATAAGTTCTCTTAGTTTTTAAACCTGAGACCTACCAATCTAGAATGGTCTGCCTCTTTCTTCACTCTCTCCTTCCCTCTGTTTATGGAGGGTTTCAGATTATACCCAGAAAGGTCTCGAGGAGAATGCAAACCAAATACCATCACTATAGGCAGTTAAGTTCCAGTTGGATCAAAGATTTAATAATAAATATTAAAAATTAAGTTTAAAAAGGGCTGGAGGAAATCATGATTAAGTGGGTGTGGCCTTTATAAGCAAGACAAAGCCCAAATACTATAAAAACTAATAAAAATCTCATCATGGTAAAAATATTCATAAATAAATCAAAATCACAGGCTAACTAGGAAAAATGTTTGTAACACATATAACAGTACATGCAATTTACAGAAGAAATTCAAATAGCAAATGTGAAAAATGCTGTTTCACTCATAAAGAAATGCCAGTAAAAATAATAATGAAGTATCTTTTTTGCCTTTTAATCTGTCATAAACCCAAAAATTCTAACACTGCTCAGTGCTGGTAGTTAGATAGGAGGAAGTTACTGTTTCAGGAAATGTAAGTTGGAACAGTCTTAGCGGGCAATTCAGGACCACTCATTCGCCAAACTTTTAAATGCATGTACCATGTTGATGGATAAATTCCACTGCCAGGAATTTTTCCAATGGACATTGTTGCACCTGCCAAGAGTATGAGCAAGAATGTTTACTGCAGCACTGTTTACAATAAAACATAATTAAAAACAACAAAAGTATCCATCAAGACAGGGCAAATGAATGAAAATAATGTCCACATTGGGGCATACTATGCGGTTGTTGAAAGAATGAATCAGATCTTTCTGTGTTGACTTGGAAAGATCTCCATGATGTATCACTAAGCAAAAAAAAGCAAGAGACATAAAAGTGTGCCTAACAGGACCCAGTTTTTTTATACTGAAACTCACATGCAAACACACACAATGGTAGTTGTACAAAATCTTCCCTTGAAAGGAATATAAATA